ACCGGCAACCCTTGCAGGTTTCTGGGCTCCTAAGCCATGATTGAAAGCACGAACTACAGTAGCCTTCTTTTGCTCGTGACTCACATAAAGGACGGTCTGTTGCGGGCACTGTCGTCACTCCTGTCACTGCTGGTTCTGCCTCCGGACCACTGAGTGTTATCTTGTCGAAGGTGTGCGCGGATCGCAAAGCCCTAGAACTAGCAGGACTGCCTTGTTGGTCTTCTGTGCACCTGCAAACTGCTGAGAAAGCCACAAGAACCTAAACATTCCGTCACGGTCGTGTTTTGCCCTAAACCCTATAAGTCGACAACATCCAAAAGCCCTCAACGCTCAGAAACCCCCAAAGAGCTAAATCCACGATACACGCATCTGGGCTCAATGGGCTGCATGTTTCTTGGGTGCCAGACGCTTGTTGGTAAGTCGGTCAAAAGATTCTGCCTGCATGTCAACAGCAAGGCCCCTGTAAGCCATCATGAAACCAAACCGCCAAAGAACCCACTAGTCCTTGAGACAGAGGCCTGCAGAACTACCAATATCGTGCCCTGGGGTTCAATATCATGTGCATACCATAAAATACATACCCCAAACACCCTGTTAAGGTCCATGCTTTCAGGACAGGCTTCAACCTCAAACCATGTCCATCAAGACCTTCAACTCGGAACCCCAATCAACACCTGCTAGCAGAGGCGATAATGCGCCCATCTAGATAGCACTTATGTCTATATAGTAGATCCTAACCATAAAACTAGGTACCCTAAAAAAGGGGTAGGGTATGAGCCTCCAGGTGCTGTGAACATGTAGCCGCAAGCCCTACTGTCTCAAACACAAACCCACCGCCCCTACACACTAAAGCCTCGTGAGAGTGGGATTCCGGCTTGTTAGTTGCAGGGTTTGGGCCTGAGCGCATCGGGTGGAGCTTTGGGTTTGGGGTTTAACGTTCAAGGATTGGGGATTTAGGGCCCAGGTTTGCATCTTGAGTACGAGGTCAGGGTTTATGAGGCTTCTTGAGCACAGGGTCGTTGGGATTTAGGGTTTTAAGGGTCTTTTGCATACGCGGTTGTAAAGATGTAGGGTTTATGGGGTCTTCTGAGTTCAGGGTCGTAAGGCTGTACAGGATTATGTGGGGAGTTTTTTTGAATAGTGAGTCAACCTTAGGGTTCATAAACCCTTTTTGAGAGCAGGGTTACCGCTTTTTTGAAAGCTGTCAAGACAGGCTTCAAGATGTGTTGCGAGTGTAGGGTTCTAAGCCCTGCGGCCTAAAGTCCTGAACGATTAACACGAAGATCTCTTTCAAACGTGCACGCGCAGGGACTGAGAAACGGAGCCGCTCTTCTCTGTTGAGAGAGCGCCATAGCAACCAGGAGGTGCCACGTGTCGACGATCCAGTCATGCTTTAACTAATATATGGGAGTTAATAAGTAGAATAAGGCTTTGGGGTATATTAGACTATAACTTTGATAAGGAACCCCAAAGATAGTATACGTAATTACTAAGGCCACGATTTTAGGGATGCTTTTCGGGCTCCTTTGGGGGTCCAGAAAGGGATCTGCTGGTGAATCTAGCTTCTTGGGGAAGTATATACCTGGTACGAAGCCCGTTTCTACATAGAAAAGGTTACGTCACACTGCGACGAAGGGGCAGATGCAGGGAAAAACGATATGTAGTGCATGGGATATTTGCCATCACATTCCCAGGCCCCCATGTGTACCTGAATAACTACGAGTATTGTTGCCTTTTAAAGTAAGAACACCCCTGTGTTACTTGAAGGTTCAAGAATTCCGGGGTGAGAGTGTAGGGTCTCGAGGCTTCACAGGTAGGCACTTCAGTCACTTGCATTGCTTGCCGGTGGCCATAACGATCTAGAGCTTAGGGTGAAAGGCAATTCTTGCCAAGGACTTAAAACGACAACCAACATTTTCTATCGCTGCGCGGGGGCCCTGAGATATCACTTTCTGGTCTTGTGGTTGTGGCAGCAGTTGACTCAACCTGCAAGACCTATCCGTAACTTGACTGAACCCGCACAAACAGACTTTGTAAACTAAGCCATATTCGGGCTCCTCCACACTCGCGGAACCTCCAGGGAGAAACAAAATCGACACCGAATTAGCAGGAACAGCCATGGCCTCAGGATGCTACATCTGCCTAAACTCTATAGAAACCCTAAACCCTAAACCCCCAAACCCCTAAAGTCTTTGCGACCTGGCGCTGGATTAGCGCTCAAGATTCGGGTTTAGGCTTCGGGTGAAAAGCAGCTTTTCGGGTGGTTTGAGTCATGAGGCTCAGCGGCTGAGCGGTAAGCCCTCTGAGTTTGAGGTTCAAGCTCATGCTTTGCAGCGGAATCTGCAGTATGATATATCATATTGCAGCATCGTGTAATGAAAGATAGTACGGTGGAACATAAAGTCACACAACTATACCTGTTGGTGACCCACGACCTACGACCTGCCTTCGAGCCAGCCCTGATCCAAAGGGCTGAATGGTATCGAGGAATGTAAACCCCTAAACCCTACACCGTAGGTTTTCGGATTTTCGCGGAAGTGCTCAGGGTGTTAAAGGAGCTTCTCCGTAGCTTCTTCGTCTTCCGAATCACTCAGGAAAGCCAGAACCCGGATTCCTGAACTGAAAACCGCCAAACCGCCTTAGACCATTCGCAGCCTGCTGACACTTCTGCTTCCCTCTGCACGACGTGGGGCCTTTGCCACGTCACTACTATAATATGCTATAATACATTGCATTTATATTATAACACAAAATGACATAACATAACATAGCATAAAACCACTGAATAATACAATCTAATGTAACATAATGCAATATAGCACAACGCAAAATAACAGAATATAAAGAAATGTAGCTATACCTGCCCAACCAGCAGGCCGCACTCCCCAGCCGTCGCGGGAGAACTAGAGATCACCCCTGCAAGGCTTTGAGAGCTTTGGGGATTTTATGGCTTTGGGGTTTTGGGTTTGAGGGTTTAGAGGTTTATAAGGTTATGGCTTTGGGCTTAGTAGGGGCTTTCACCAATTATATATTAAGGATCCCATAAGGTAACCCCAAAAAAGAACTACAATGGAGACTATAGGTAGGGCTTTGGGGATTTATGAGTTCGGGATTCGGGATCGGGATGAAGCCGTTTCGGGGTCTCCGAAGTTCAGGGTTTTAGAGTTGCCTTAGGGTCTTTAGGGTTTAAGGGTTTAGGGCTTTTGGGGCTTGAGGGTTTTAGGGTTTTTGGGGGTTTAAGGGTTTAGGGTTATTGGGGTATAAGGGTTTTAGGGCTTTTGGGGTTTAAGGGTTTAGGGCCTAGAATGTACGGATTTATGGCTTTTGTATAAGGCAGCTTAAGGGCTCTAGAGTTGAAGGGTATCGGTTCTCGTTACGAGGATACTTTCAGAGATGTTGCTTTTTGAAACCAGTGGAGTTTTAGAGACTCGCAAGCAGAAGGAGCCCTAATCTAGGAGCATTAATACTCAGAATAGGGCTTTGGGGCCGGTTATACTATCATTACAATAAGGAAAACCCAAGTTATACTATCATTACAATAAGGAAAATCCAAAATAGCATAGGAAACTATGAAGGCACCTATATTACCCCGAACTCCCTAAACCCTAAACCCTAAACCCTAGACCCTAAACCCTAAACCCTAAACCCTAGACCCTAAACCCTAAACCTAAACCCTAGACCCTAAACCCTAAACCCTAAACCCTAGACCCTAAACCCTAAACCCTAAACCCTAAACCCTAGACCCTAAACCCTAAACCCTAAACCCTAAACCCTAGACCCTAAACCCTAAACCCTAAATCCCGACCTCCTAAGCCTCGAACACGCACGCTCGCACTCGGGGAATTTCGCTGGGGAGTAGATTGACAGGTCGGGTACCTTATTTTGGGGCCTTGTAATAAGGATCCTAATATTTAGGGTACTATATTAGGGTCCCCTATTTTCGGAAAGCTCCACTGTCTGGGGTGGGGCTCCGGCTTCGGTGTGAATGCCAATGCCCTGCAAGGATCCAAGGGTAAAAGGAAGGACCCCTAATAAGGACCCCTAGGCATGTACCCTTAATATAGCTATCATATACCCATTCTATAGCCCCATGATAGGGTAGGGGTCCCCATTAAGGGTCCCTCCTTTTCCCCTTTGAAAGGAAGCTATCCATGGAGACCCTGACTATGGATCCCGATGGCTGCCGCAACTTCACACGACCATGTTCCATGGCCATCGACATGCCCGTCTCTTGATCTGCCTTTCGGCGAACATGCTGCCCGACAGCAAAGCCGGCTTCCTGGAGCATGAGCGCCGAGCCCTTGACTGTGCCATCCGAGCTGAGCTCTCGCATGATTGCTGGACTCTGGGATCCAACATCTTTTGATGATGAACCCTGCGAGTCTGTGAGCTGGTGTGCTGACCATGGGGAGTTCAGCTCCGTGTTCAAGATCCCTTCCAAGATGGAGCACCAGATCATATGCAAGAGACTGGCATGTTTTGTACTTCTTGAGATCCTCTCCGGTCCGATGAAGCCTGGAACCTATAAAGCTTACGCAACAAGCCCTTGGCTTGGTGTTCTCGAGCTTCTACGTGAAAAGCATCCGCAAGCCATAGATACACAGAAACGTCTCTGTCTACGTAATTACCTGTGTATATATGCTTATGTGCATGTATGAAAAAATCTATACACACATAACATTCATGTCTATATCTCCATATATATATATATATCGCGCTATACCTACATACATACATGCATGCATACATACATCCGTACGTACATATATACACAAACACACACTACGCAGCCAGAAAACCCTAAGCCCCAAAAGTCCCGGTGAAGCCCGGCTGTCTCAAACCCTCCAAAGACGCTCAAACAACAAAAAACTTGACTTGATCGTGCAAGGTTTTTTTGAACGCCTTTTTGCTCCTAGCAGTTAACAAAACCCAATCTTGAACCACCATAAACCCTAAACCCTGAACCCCTGAGCCCAAGGCCTGCGCCAGCTACCGACATCTCACCGCCGGAAGCTGCGGGCCGCGCGGCCAGAGCACCTGACTTGACCATGCTTGGGGGTTCATGGGTAGTTATAAGTGGGTGGTTGTCAAAATTGTGGTCCCTTTTTGGTACCCTACATATTAGGTGCTGTACTATAATATGGACCCACAAAGGGACCATTATTTTGACAACCGCCCAAGTGGGGTTATAAGTCCCCTTATAGGGCTCATAACTGTAGTTACCCTACTTATAACCCTACCTATAACTCTTACCTTTGGTTTGTAGGGAATGGAAGATTGGTAGTAATAGTAGTTTAATTGTACCCCATTCCTCCATTCCCTACCAACCAAAGGTAAGTACTCGGAAAAAAGAGGTATCGTTTATTTATCGAAGGCTTTCGTGGATTTCTACTACTGCAATGAGGGCTCCTATAGGGTGGGAGTAGCTGTACTCTTATCGAACGGTTGCCTGTCTCGCTACAAAGGGTCTTCGGGCACTACTGCGGGTTCTTCTGCGGTTCACAACGTTCTGATGACGTTCCAATACTTCATGCGACTGGGGTTTGTCGATCCAGGTCTTTTTGGTTCCAGGCCCGTTCCAGGCTGGCACGGAGGGATATTGCCGGCTGATCTATTCGCTCGTTACATCATCTCAACCTCACACTGTGAAAGCATTGACCCGGTTTCAACGACACAGATGCAGCCTCACACAAAACTTCACGAAACACATCAGAAGGCATCGGAGTTTAGATGTGCGCACTTTGAGCGTTGGAGGCTGAGGCCTGGTAGCTTGGAGGCTTATGGGTGGATCGAGCGAAAACTCATCACCCCGCAAAGGAAAACCGTCAAAAGGAGGGTACCCTAGCCCAAAAAAGGCTAACGTTTTGAATGATGGTAGGGTTATATGTATATATATATATATACCCAAAAGGTTAGAGGTTACCTACTCAGCCACGGAGGGAACGATATGTGATGAGGGCATCTTGATCCTACGAGTATCTTATGATTCAGGATCCTAGTCTGTAGATTTACATTATCAGCGTCCTTCGATTGACAGAGAGAAGCAGGACCAAGGTTTATGGCTCTACACCTAGACCAATTATCAAGCTTATGAAGTGTAGGCTTTGGAGTTCTATGGTGTCAGGGTTTAGGTTTGAGGTTGTGTGTAGACCTACCACGTATTGAGTCAGAATCTCTTCCATTTCAGCGCCAGCTCGATTCATCCCCCCTTCCAGAAAAAAAAACAATCACAAACGAAAGCCTAAACCCTACAAAACCAATCCCTCAAGACCCTGCCCTAAACCCTAAACCCTAAACCCTAGCCTGGAGGTCTGAGCATTAAAAAGCCTCCAAGCCCTATGCGAAACACCCTCGAAAGCCTCAGCCCTGAAAGTTCCAGTAGCCCACGAAGCCCAATACCTTGTAAACTATACTGAACTTAGATCCCTAGCAAAAATTATAAAATTCTAGCTCTTTCTTAGGGATTATAATAACCAAAAGTACCCCTAAGTAAACGCTGTCTGGAGCCCCAAGAACAAGAAACAGCAGGTCACGTAGCTAAACGCGCCGTAAAAAAAGGGATCGTGGATCTGCAGGTGCACCTGTGGAGAAATCCTAGCTCTTACAGGACCCATTCAAGGAATCCTTAAAAGAACCCTCATGAGTCATAAGAACCCGTTTAAACTCTAGACATCTGTCTAGACACCCTGAAAGAGACCTCGACGGAACCCTTATAGAAATTGTTCTGGGAACCCTGAAAAGATCCCGTCGAAGAACCCCTTAAATTGTGGAAGCCTTCCTAAATCATAAACCATTTATAAAGAGCCTTAAAAAGACCCTAAACCTCAAACCCTGGACCCTAAACCCTAGACCCCAAACCCCACACCCTGAGACGGGCACAGCTCCGAACAGTTTGCTTCGCTTCGGGAGCCTCCACAGGCAGGGAGGGAATACGATACTTAAAGCCCCAAAACCCTAAAGCCCTAAACCCATAAAACCCTAAATCCCAAAACCCAGAAACCCTAAACCCTGATAGTTTTAGGGATATTTTAGGAATAGGGGTTCAGAGTTTAAGGCTTCAGAGGTTTAGGGGTTCAGGGTTTAGCAGTTCCAGGGTTCAGGAGTCTAAGGATGCAGGAGTTCAGGGGTATCAGGGGTATTAGGGGTTTAGGGATGGTAGCGGTTTAGGAGTTTTGGGGGTTCAGGGTTGAGGGAACGCGACATGTGGCGTTTCTTTCAGTGAAAGGTGGCTTAGCGTTCGGACTTTAGAGTCTCTTGGATTTAGGAGTCTGCGGCCTGGGTTTAGGACATTGGGTTTGGGTTCAGAAGTTTAGGCCTCAGTGTTTACGGCCTGTGGGTTAGGATGTGGCCGTTTTTAGCCACTGTTTTCGACCCCCTTGCCCGGCTTCCGTCCTTTTTTGCTGCCGAATTTGCCTCCCCCCCTCCTTTCCCCCCCCCTCCCGCGCCCTTCCCGCCCCTCTCCGCCCTGCCCCCCTGCCCCCCCCCTCCCCCCCCCTCCCCCCTCCCTCTCTCTTCTCCCCCTCCGGCCCGTCCTCCCCTCTGCCCTCCTCGCTCGTTTTCCTTTTTTGGTTGCCCACCCTTCCGTCTTGTCCTGCCCTCGCGTGTTTTTTCGATTGCCTGCTCGTTTTCTTTCACCTTTTCTTCTCTTTCGGCCTGCCCCCGGCTCCACTGTCTTTTCTTCTTATGTTTCGTTTGCGTGCTTCTTTCCTGCTTCCTCGTTGAAGCTCTCGTTTTGCTGTTTTGTTCCGGCCCCTTTTCCGTCTTGTCTGCACTTCTTTTGGCTTGTTTTCCTTCCTTCCCCCCCTCCCCCTCTTGCTGGCCCCCCCTTCCTCCTCCGGCCGGCCAGTCCACCCTTCCGTGTTGTCCTGCCCTCGCGTGTTTTTTCGACCTTTTCTCCTCTTTCGGCCTGCCCCCCACCGAGCCGGCTCCACTGCCTTTTCTTCTTATGTTTCGTTCGCGTGCTTTGGCTTTTTCGGCCTGCCCCCCCCCGGGCCGGCTCCACTGCCTTTTCTTCTTATGTTTCGTTCGCGTGCTTTGGCTCTCCTGCTTCCTCGTTGAAGCTTCCCCCCCCCCCGACCCTCCCTCCCTTCCCCGGCCCCCCTCCCCCGGGCCTTCCCCCGGCCCCTTTTCCCACCCTTCCGTCTTGTCCTGCCCTCGCGTGTTTTTTCCATTGCGACTTTTTCGTGCACTTCTTTTTGGTTTGTTTTCTTCCCCCCCCCCCTCCCCCCCACCCTTCCTCCTCCGGCCCCCCCTTCCTCCTCCGGCTTCCCCTTGTTTTTTGTCTTCTGCCTGCTCGTTTTCCTTCACCTTTTCTTCTCTTTCGGCCTGCCCCCGGCTCCACTGTGGGTTTTGCTGCATGTGTTTGCTCTACACTTGCCACACTTCTCCAAGTAGCCCTGACCCTGCAACTAAATTACACCTGCTTTAAGAGGCCCTTCGCAGTTTGGCCCCTGCTCTGCGCCCCTGCTGGCCCTACTGCAGCCGGCGGCCGAGGCGGGCTGCGTAGCATTAGAATTAGGGAATATGGCTTAAATTATATAGGGCTTCATATTATGATTTAAGGTATATTCCTTTATTAAGGGGTATTGGGCTCTCTGGGTGCATGGCAAGCAAACGGCCGCCGATAGAAGCGATATGACTTGAGAGGCTTCCTTGCCACGAAGCCAACCAGGGAGCACCACGCTGGGAACAGCGCTGCAACTCATAGAAGCGCCACAAGAATATTTTGCTGGCTTTGCATGAGTTGCATTCCACCATCAGGGACGTAAGGGAAGCAGACGATCCCATCTTGTCGAACCCGAAGAAGCATCTGTAGACATTTGAAGAATCCAGGCCGTTCCCTGGCACCGCGGGTGTTCTTTCGACACAAGGTCAACGGCCGGCAGACCCCAAACGTATGCCGAAATATAGCCTTTTATAGGTTTTGGGCCCTTATTTTAACCACTTCTTTTTTTGGGGTGGGGGTCTAGGTAAGGTCTAGAAGGGTTTTCTGCCGGACATCTCCCAGACCCCAACTCCGGCTCGAAAACCCGGAGGTTCACGGGTAGTTATAACTGGGGTCTTGAGTCCACCAATAGGGGCTATCAGTATAGTTGCCCTACTTATGACCGCACTTATAACTACCCATGAGCCTCCAAGCGAAATCGCCCAACCCTGAACCTTAGATCTTCAACCCGACACGTTGACCCCTCCACACTAAAATCCCCAAACACGAAACGACTTCTAAACCCTAGAAAGACTCTCTTACTTAGTAAGACGTTTGCTTATATTATGGATTCTCTAAGCATTTCTACGTTGTTGTAGAACCTCCGAGAAAACTAAACCCTAAACCCAACACCCCCTAAGACGCCACGCCGGATCCCCCAAAAGCCTCCATCACTGGAAGACAGGCGTCGGACACGCGGCCCCTTCAGCGCATCGTGCAGGTCGGAGTGGGAGTAGGTCCGCAAGATCTCCTGAGGCAGGGGTTTAGGGGTCTATAGGGGTTTGAGGTTGATTTAGGGTTTAGGGGTAGTTAGGGTTTACGGCTTAACTAAACCCCCAAGGTCCTGAAGATCTCGTGAGGTCGGGGCCGTCGCAATTATACTGGGGTTTAGGTTGTGGCTTGGGAAGCATGGGGGGCTTATTACTCAGACCCACGGAGATAATGTGATATAAGGCCTCTCTCTGTGTGTGTGTGTGTGTCAGTAGCCTGTCAAAGCCAACGGCCAGTTTCCCGTCAATCAAGGACAGGTACCTGGAGGTTCATGTGTAGATTGGAGTTATTACAACTAGAACTCCTATTAAGGGACTTGCAACCTCACTCATAACTACCCATGAACCTAGAAGTAGTACGTCAGCAAGGCCTCTGGTCGGGGACGAGGTAGCGTGGGCCCGGACTTTGCCCACATGCGGCATGATGTGATAATTATAAGATCGCATGCGAAACCCTAAACCCGGAACCCTAAACCCTAAGCATTGTAGGGCTGACCAACACCCCCGATGTACCGAGACATCAACGTGTACCGCCGAAGCGGAATCTTAAGGTTGGGAACGTTGGGACATTAGCGCAAACTGTTAATGTGTACACCGGCATAGGGGCCTTCTAGGGCAGTATATAAGTATAATCCCTATTAATAAAGGATTTTAGGCGTCTACATCAATTGCAAGAATCTTGAGCTTCGGGTTTTTCACAAAAGCCACACCTGGACCTAGACCTAGACCGCCAATTATTGCCCACTACCACGGCGAAGATCACCACCCCAGGGAATGTCGTATGGCTTCCTAGAAAAACTTAAGCCTTCACGTTTCATCTTTTGAATGGGACGCTGGAGCATGAGACCAGAGTCGCAGAATGTACGGTTTCTACAACAGGAATTACTATGATGGGCAGGGTAAGAGTCCTCCAAATGGGTACTTAGGACCCTTTGGGAAATCGTTTAACAACCTAATAAAGCCTGCACCCAGCCCTATACCTACTCTAAGAGATATGAGCAGTTGCGATCAAGCTTCCAAGTGGTGACGCTCCATCTCGGAAGAAACCATGGTCGAGCACCTCGTGCACTGGGCGGGTTACGGCTCAAGGCTTTGAGGTTTGGAGGTTGGGTTGCGCCCTTTGTTTTGAGTTGCATTGAGCTTTGCCGCTTGCCTTCGCTGACAGGCCATCAAACTCACAGCCCTAAACATAGCAAGGCTGACTGTTTGGGGCTTAAGGTACTTGGGTTTAGGATTCGATGTGTAGGCGCTTGGCAAGTTCTGAAAGCTAGCCGTCCCTTCTGACGTTCCTGGTCAGGGGGCCTTAAACGTTTCAAGTTCCTTCGTCGGGATCCGTAGATTCAGGATCCTAGTCCGAAGCATCTATATGAGTAGTTGTCAAAGTTAAGGTCCTGTTTTGGGACCCGGATACTGACAACAACCTATATCGGGTCGCCAGGTTGTTTTCTGAACCTCGGGCATGTCTGACGAAGGGCCATCTTCAACCTTGAAGCTAAAATGGGAGTGTCCGAAAAAAGGGGACCCTAATATAGTACCCTAAATAGTAGGATCCCTTAATATAAGGATCCCCCAAATAAGGTACCCACTAATTTTCGGGAACTCCCACATTGGAGTTTGGGTGTTAAGGCCTGTGGTTTTTGCAGGATCTGGGGCTCCACTTGGAGGGTCGGGGGACTTAGTAAGTAGGTAGTAAGTAGACTTATAAGTACCCTAAAAGGAACCCTAATTGGGGTTATGGTACTTATAAGTCCTTAAAATAACCAGTTACTAAGTCCCCCGACCCTCCAAGCAGGGTTCCCAAAATAGTCCCGGAGCCCGAAGAGACCTTTCAAGGTTCCTTCATATGTTTTTTAGGGTTCCTTCATATGGTTTCCTTATATAAGCCCTTGAAAAATTAAAAAAATGGTAGGTTATTTAGGGCTAGGGTTTGGGTTTGGGGTTTAGGCTCAGGCTTTCTGAGGGTTTGGGCTTCGATTCGAGGTGTCCAGGGTGAGGGTTCGTGCTGGGTTTCGGGCACATGGTGTCAACAATCCTAAACCCCTGAAGCCCAAAATCCCTAAAGACCAACATCCCTAGTAGCAAAAAAGTTTAAAGGGTTAAACTTTAAACCCCTACATCCTAAACCCCTACAAACCTTTTAAACCCCTATAAACCCTAAACCCCTAAACCCCTATAAACTGCAAACCCCCAAACCCTAAACTCCTAAACCGTTTAGATCCCTTAAGGAACCTCTATAGCACCCATTAAAGGAACCCCAAGAAGCCCTACCAAGCGAGGAGCTTAGCTTGAAGTGGCGGCAGGTTTTCCTCATCGATGGCGGCAAAGAGGCTGGACCACTCTGACCTGGGCTTGAGGAGTTACCCTAGGGATCTAAGGACTCATATATTAAGAATTTTGGGCCCAAAGACCATACTACATAAGGCGTTTGGGCTATTTTGATTAGCGTTTAGTGGTGGGAGGCCCAAAGGGAGTTTAAGATTCTTGGGGTAGGGATTGATTAGGGTTTAGGGTTGAAGATTCTTGGGGTAGGGATTCCTTAGGATTTAGGGTTTAGGGGTTTATGATTCTTGGGGTAGGGATTCCTTGATAAGGGAACCCTAATCCCTACTAAACCCCCATAGGCTCAAACCCCTTTTGCCCTCCTATGATGACCTGGGCTTGAGGACTTAGGTTGCGGGCTTTGGGGCTTTAGGCTTTAGGATTTAGGGTATGAGGATTTAGGGTGTGGGTTTGGGGTATAGGATTCAGGCTATGAGGATTTAGGTTATGGGTTTTGGATTGTAGGATTTAGTGTTGAGGTGCGAGGATTTAGGACTTTAGGGCTTTATTATTTAAAAATGTAGTGTTTAGGGTTTTTAGGATTGAGTCTTTAAGGCGTTTAATTCGGGTTTACAGGTGTTGGATTCAGGGTTTACAGTGTGGGTTCTGTAAGAGTTTTCGGGAGTTTCACAAGGGTTTAACAAGATCCCAAACCAGGCTCATGATTTCGGGCTATAGTGAACGCCAAGAAGTTGGAACGTGGACTTAGGATGACTTGTGCGGGGATTCCCTATACTTTATCTTAACGGCATGACACTGATAAACTGATGTTCCAACTTTCTGGCATCTGCTGTAAGTAGTTTTGACCTCTGATTAGTAAACGTGGGGGATCATGTGAAGCAGCGGGTTGAAACACGACGAATACATTCAGGGTTTCTTAGGGTTGAGGGTTTAGGGTTCGGAGCTTCTCTAATATACAGGCCTTCATATTGTGTTGGAATGAGGATATAGAGACTTTTAGGGATGTTATGTTTATTCTTATTGCTAATTCTGCGAACCTTTTTATTACATTCGGGATTCCTGTCAGCGTGTCAACTATTTAACGATTTTGAGTTGAGGATTCTCAGGTTTCCTGCATTCAGGGGCTATGTGGCTCGAGCTATGAGGTTGTTCGGGGGCAATTTAGGGTTAAGGGTAATAAACGTAGTGTGATGGAGCCATGCCCAGTATCCTAGGAGAACTAAAGATCAACCTTTGAGGTTCTACAGGAGTACACCAAAAACGTTTTAAGATTATATACTCTAGTACTGAGAAACCCAGTGAAAGCTCCGCAGAGCAAAGGTTCACATGTCTCCTGCCAGTGGCCATGGGGTCAGCGGCGCATTTGGCAACGGCCGCAGCCCTGGCACTGGTCTGGGCTTTCGGCTTAAGGCAACCTAGACTCCTCAACCAAACTGCAGTATACCGGCTACTTACCATAAACGCTACATTAAGGGCCGTTTGCAGAGGGGTTCAGGCTTATAGGCTTTAGTTTAGGCTTTGGGAAAGAGGATTTTCACACAGGGTTTTAGAAAGGGCTTACTTCTTAGCCTTAACATGGTTTTACAGGCATGTCATTGGGCTTTGTCGGCATTGCTGTTTTCGCACAGGACCCTGGGAAACTCATGTTACCAATCATTCAAGCTGCTATACCCGGGTCCCTTGGTCTTTTTAGCGGGAGAGGCTGCGGGCGTCTGGGGGTGGGGGCCGGGGAAGGGAGAGGGAGCGGCTTTAGAGTTTATGATGCTCAGGGATGTGGCCCGCGGCGTCCCAGTTTTTCCACCACCTTCCGGCGTCGTCTTTGAACCAGTCGCGCTCGTTCTGCATTCGCGACTGGTGGTCCGCCCAGTCCACCGCAAGGCGGTGACGCCATTGGGCGTACTCCATCTCCTGCGGATCTTGCTGCCAGATGAACCGCAACAGACATCTGTCTGTCGCATCGCTGGCGCGATGGACGTGCGTCATCCTCGAGCTCCCGCCTCGGACTTTCAATTTACCGTCGTGGTTGCCGGATGTTGCGGGGCATTGGGATTCGGATACAGCACTACCTATCTCAAGCCCAAAACTCAAACATCTGCACCTACATGGAGGAATTGGCAGCTGAAGGCCGTTCATCGCCGCTCTTGGATTTGACAAGCTGGCTGACGATAATTACTGGACTGCACACACCCCCAACCGTACACCCGAAGACGCATCAAGGACGGGAGGCTCGTTGTCTCAAAGGGGAAAAGGAGGGACCCTTAATGGGGACCCCTAGGTCCTTACTAAGGGTCCCTCCTTTTACCCGTGGATTGTCGCCCAAAACCCGAAAAAACCCTAACCCCCGGAATCTTACGCCCTGACACCCTTGACCCCGAAAAGGAACGCCAACCCTAAACCCTACTTGGAGGTTCATGGGTAATTAGAAGTGGGGTTACAAGTAGGGTTACTATACTTATAACTCCTATTAGGGGACTTATAACCCTATTTATAACTACCCATGAACCTCCAAGCAAGCCCTAACCCTTATACCCTTATAGAATCTCTACAGATCCCTTCAAAGGGACCCTTACAGGAACCTATATAACGACCCATGAACCTCCAAGTAACACACCCCATGCCCTAGCACCTCAAGGGCTCCCCCTAAACCCTAAACCCTAAACCCCCTAGCACCTCAAGGGCTCCAGAGTCTAGAACCCAGAAGCGCTGGCACCCTGACGTTCTGACACCCCTCGAGCCCTGAACGGTTTAGGGTTTAGGGTTTAGGGTTTAGGGCAGGACCTTTAGAATTAACTCAGGTTTTGTGGTGTATTTTTTTTACCTGCAGCTGGCGATAATGCAATTTTAATACTTTCGGCCCTAGGCAATACCCAGAGGCCCCATAATAGTAGTTCCTTTTCGGGATTACCTCATCATGTTCTAAATATGAACCCCAAAAAAGAACTACTTTGGGGCCTTAGGGTAAACCACAGTGCCCGGAGCTCTCCTCGCTCAACAAGGTGGTCGTGTTGCTTCTTGGTGTCTTCGTATCCTCGCCGAATCCTTTGCCGGGTTCCCGAAATGTTGAAGTTGGGGACCTTTAACGGTTAAGGGTTTAGCCTTCTTAGGGTTCGCGGTTCGAGACTTCGTGTCGTCAACTTTTCACAGGAGGATCCTGTTATCACTCGTCCATATTTGGGTTCCTGATCTCTGAAATAATATGTGCAGGACATTGAGCCTGGGGAACTCTGAAACTTCAAAGCCTCGCCTGCTGGGAGTTCGGGTGTAGGGCTTAGGGTTGAGGGCTCTCTAACTCTAGCCCAACTCGGGCGATAAAGCTTGATCGGACATGCTGGGAGCAGTAAAGGCGAAAGCACGAACATGCATGGTAACAATCGAAGATGTAGCATCGGTGGGAGCAAGAATGACAATGGCAACAGGGATAGCCAGGACAACGTCAGAGCTGCCACAAGATTAGGTCCTGCTGTGTCGTGCGTGCATGCATATGCTCATGTCTCTACGTAATAATGCATGCATATCGAAGATGCATGTCTGCGCCTTTCCCATCATGCAAACAGCCCAGCTCAGCGGATTTTTTTTAGGCTGCGGAATGTGTTGGTGCTGGTGTTGGCGGTTCAAGGTTCACAGTTCCTTTAAGGGCTTCTTTGAGGGATGCTATGAGGCGTAGTTTTAGGAATGGGGTGATGTCGGAGATCATCATAGATGTGGGCGCGGCGGTTTTGGTGATGGTGGTGCTGGCCGTCGTGGTCATACCTAGCCCTAAACCCTAAACTCCAAGGCATGGCATGGACTTGTTGAACTGGTGGGTCTGTGGGCCGTGCTTGATGCCGCATTCGTGTTTGCTGTTGATGTGTATGCAGCTGCAGCAGTCTTTGGGGAGAGCAGTTCGATAAAAGGACCTTGAAAGCTGATAGAGATGACAAGTCCAAACGGGGCAGAACAGTAGGGTCAGTCTTTCGAGAAACCAGGCGTGAAAAGGCGAAAATAAGCATGCCCATACTATAGAAAGCAAGAGTGCTTACAATCCGTGGCTTGGCACTAATGCAACATGACTTCATCGTTAGCAAGCGAAACAAGACACCCGTACAGTCAGTGCTCCAAGCACATCGCAACAGCGTGGCTTTGAGAAACATGAAAACGAGCAAGTTGTTCGACCTGATAGGATGTTCCCGATCATAGCAGAAATTATAGCTAAAACTCTCGCAATGCTATGCATTGGACGTATGATGTTTGCAAGTTTTACGAAGGTTCTCTGCCAGAACATGTACAAAGTACAGGATCAGCCCAGCAACACCGAAACAATAGCAGTCCTTCTCTGCAAGTGGGAGCTGTGGTGCCCTCAACATTTCAGGTTTGGGTCTAGGGTTTAGGGTTTAGCGTTTCGGGTTTAGCGTTCAGGGTTAACCTGAAATCACGACCCCCCCCCAGCAAACAATACACCACAACCATCGCCAAGCATCAGTTCTTGCTGGTGAGCCCACGGGTAAAGAACAAAGACCTGCAGGCTATGTAGGATGCCGAGACTGGAGTGTTGGGTTGCGGCTTCCGCGGCTTCCCTGCAATGTAGGGCTGCAGGAGTTGATTTAGGGTTAGCGGTTTATGGGTGGAGACTTAGCAAATAGCAGTGGCTAGTGAGTACGGCTATACGTACCCGATTGCAGCTCCCCGAAAACCTACAGTTACAACCTGCCCGTTTGGGAGGAAACCCTACGACATTGGCAGGTTCTGACTTACACGGTAAAACTTTTAAAGCGATAATAGAACTAGGTCCTAGGTACCATTCAAGCACCTACAGTAGAAGCCATGGGCAGGGAAACTGGACAACTAGCGTTATAACTCCTACTAGGGGACTTAGAACCCCAGTTATAAACTACCCTAAACCCCTATACCCTTATAGAATCCCTTTAAAGGGGCCCTTAGCCATCTTGGCGCCTCGGTTGGCATGAACCTGCTGGGCTGGACATCAGCAACACCTCAGCCGAGGAGGTTCAGGGTTGCGGCTTGAGTTGTAGGCTTGACCCCCACCTGGACCCCAAGAGTATGTATATGGAATTATTATAGCCTTTCATAAACTCCTAAACCCTAAACCCCTAAACCCTAAATCCATACAACTTTTGGGGTCTACATAAACCAAGGTCGAAACCAACAGAGCAGGGGTGACTGAGGCTTCGTCTTGACGGGAGGAACCCTAAACCCTAAACAGTACTTGGAGGTTCATGGGTAGTTACAAGGGCCCCGTTAAAGGGATCTATGGGGGTTCTATAAGGGTATAGGGGTTTAGTGTTTAGGGTAGTTATAAGTGGGTTATAAGTCCCCTAATAGGAGTCATAACGCTAGCTTGCCCTACTTATAACTCCACCTCCACCTACCCATGAACTTCCAAGTAAGGTGGTTCGAGCTTTGGGCAGCAATGTCTTTGTGGGCTGCGACTTGCAGATGTCCGGATTTCGTCAAGTTTAGGCCATATGGGGGTTTCCGTAAATAGGGGACGCTAATATGGCACCACAAATCGTAGGATCCTTATTATAAGCACGTCAAATAAGGTACCCCTAATTTTCGGTAACTCCCATATGGGGGGGCGTAGCGAATGTGGGCCCCTTTTGCTCTTCACTACATCTCTCATGCCTTAACCACGGGTTGGGACTGCAACGCTCAGGGTGTAAGCTTAACGCCTAGGATTTCAGGTTCACCCCACCTACAGAAGGGTTACCCGGTCACACCCCCAATCGGTTTAGGGTTTAGGGTGGCCCAAACCTGGAAAAAGCTTCAAACCACAAGCCCAGAACCATCAACCAAGTCACCCATAGCTGGGGGCAGCAACGTGGACCACCAGGGGAAGCACGTCACTTTGATCACCTGGCGACATGTGCCAGGACTATATGGGTCATTGTCAAAATTAGGGTCCCGTTTTGGGTCCGTATTATAATACGGCACCTAATATTTAGGGTACCCAAGAAGGAACCCTAATTTTGACAACTACCCATATAGCCCGGTGGGGATTGGGGCTTTGAGCTTTTGGTGCTCATAGCTTCACACACAAGCCCTGAAACCCAACCTCTAAACTGAACTATGCTGAACTTAGAACCCTAGCAAAAAGTATAATTTTAGCTGTTTCTTAGGGACTATCATGACAAAATTAAGAATCATTTCTAAGTACGCCTAAGTGAACCCCAACCCGGGAGAAAGGGGCTTGGGCTTTCCACCAAGCGATGGCCATGGTCTCGTGCACCCCTCCTACCTCCTGGTATGTACCCCGAGGCTTCATAGTAGTTCCTTTTTGGGGTTTGTATTTAGAATCCTTTTAGGTAATCCCAAAAAGGAACTACTATGGAGCCTCTGGGTAAGCCATACATCCCAAACCCGACTATTTGGGGCCTCGACTCGTCGGACAAGGCTTTTGGCAACCCTAAGGCCCCAAAGTAGTTCCTTTTTGGGGTTCATAGTTAGAACCGTATGAGGTAATCCCAAAAAGAACTACTACGGGGCCTCTGGGTACCGTCATCACAGTACAAAATTTAACACGGCGCCCTACGGGATAGTATTATCAAGTTTTCAAGCTTATAGATTATAGTGGGCCTGATCTTAACATTTCTCTCCGCAACGACAACTGCCCAACTAATGGTAAGCCCCATAGTGCCCCTCAACGGAACAGGTCAGAACGGCTTTATACACGGCTCTTCTAGGTTGCTCCGTTCTTTTCTGGGAGTACTGAAGTTATTTGGCCCGAAAGCTGGTACTTATAAGCATCCCCGAAGTAAGCTCTAGACACTTGATCCTAGACCCTGTGGTATCCTCTGATTTCCAAAAAGAGACCCTGCAAGGACCCTCTAAGCAGGCTGGCAGTTTCTATCCCAGGAGGTACTATCTAGGGGCCTCAGTGATTAGAATACGGTTTTGGGGCCTACTATACCATAATTATGACAAGGAACACCCCAAAGTAAATAGTACAGGTAATGACTTAGGCCCCTATGCGAACTTCGCAGGAGTGGGTCCGACGGCTCATGGAAGCAGCAAGGGGTCTCGGGTCTGTTATGGCTTGGGGGCTCAGGGTTTCGCTGCCCAAAGAGAACTAAACCATAACTATTCAAAACGTACATTCAGCACAGAAAGGGGAGCTTGCCGAGGTGGAGTAAGTTTCGGGAGCTGGTGCAAGCGTCGCTCCCCAAAACGATGCTTGTGGAACCCTTTCACGAACTTCACGGCTTTAGAGTAAAAGCCTGAAAGTTGGAATATGATTCTCCTAAACCCTTTATGGTAAATTATTAGGTATCCTACCCTGAAACCATATTCCAACTTTCTGGAGTTCCCTTTAGGCGCTCGAAAACTCGAAAAGACGGAGTGCCTCATCCCAGCGATGGTTCTCGGGCACGGAGTACATCGCGGAGAAGCCACCATCCACATAGTACTTGCCTGCGAAGCAGTGGAGGGGTTGAGGTATAAACCCTGAGCCCAAATTAGCCTAAACCCTTCCCCAAAGGGTCAAAATACCCAAATAGTAGGGTTCCAGGTCCTAAAATCCATACTCAGAATGGTTTGCGGAGCTTGAAACCCTACTATTTGGCGGGTACTTGGACCCTCTGGGTTCAACTATGAACCCTTACACTCTCAAATTTTTGGGCTTACATTCACATAAAGCCCAAGAGGACCGATCTTCGTACTAGGGCCTATAAGGGCTTAAGGTTTACTAGCGTGGCCCCTTAAAGCCTCTGAAAAAAATATTCGTAAATAGGGTCCTATTCAGCCCAATAAGGGAAAATATAAAATGTCCCAAAGGCCTACCTAGTTTAGGGTTAGGGTAGCAAAGAGTCGTTGAAGGTCCACGTGGGGTTGTGTCATAACCCCGTATAAAACTCCTTATCCCTCAATGTTGCTATAGTCTTATTCCTTCTTATAGTTTTGCCACGAAAAATGCGTTATCGTTCTGTTATCGTTGTATGTTCTTCTTATCTCACGGAAAACAATCAAAACCGAGCACGGATGTGTCAAGACTAAACTTAACAGCACGGGTTTATTATACAGTCCCACATAAACTCTGAAAGACTAGGACGGGAGGCTCGGCTTGATGTGTGTAAGACTTACTAGTAGGGTTCCCTACGGGTCCAAGTACCTAATAACTAATCAGATACTCTCCCAAACAGCAACCTCCATATCCATTATCCGAAACCTAAGTGCCCGAACATTGGGTCCTTTGGTCCTTTGGGGGTTACTTGGAGGGTCGGGGGACTTAGTAACTGGTTATTTTAGGGACTTATAAGTACCATAACCCCAATAACGGTCCCTTTTAGGGTACTTATAAGTCTACTTACTACCTACTTACTAAGTCCCCCGACCCTCCAAGTAATGGTGTCTTAGGAGCAAAAATGCAAACCCAAACATCGCCTTGATGAGGCGAGGAAAACCTCAACCCACGACATTCTGTAACAGGAGCCGAGTGCTGCATGCCCAGCAAATGCCCAGGCATACCCCAAACCCCAACTCAAATATAGGGTATACTATACCCCCAAACCCTATTCTAATTATTAAGGCCCCTATATGAATTAAACTCCGTGAACTCCGAACCCTAACGCGAGCTTAAACCCGAAACTCTACCAACCCACAAAACAAGAAAAACCAACCCTCAAGCCTCGACCCCATGCATCTCAAGAAAGCGAGAGAAAGATTAACACATGAAACCTGGCCTTGATAAACACCAGGCGTCCGGAAGAAGGGGACGACCTACCCAGAGTCTCCAAAGTTTTTGGGATTACCTTTCAGGATTCTATACTACTATTTGCTTAAGAACCCCCAAAAGAATAAGAATAATAATCCCTATATTATCCCTATAAGGAATATATTTTTTTATTTTTGAGGGTTCTTAAGCAAATAGTAGTATATATGAACGCCAAAAAGGAACTACTTTGGGGCCTCTGGGTAGTAGCTACGGTTCAGGTGGTATGTTGGTTTGGGAGTTAAGGTTTGGGGTCTAGGGCTTTAGGGCTAGGGTTTTGGGTCTAAGATAGTCTAAGGTTTGGTCTGGGGCTGCTTCAATCAAGGTGGGGTGTGTATTTGCCTTTCGGTGAATGTAGGTATAATTCTCCTCTGCTTAGGCGACCAGGAATATTGGGGGGGGGGGGGGTGATATTAGTCATAAAGGGCTGGCTGCCCCCACTGGCCATGGCGGCTCGCTAAATTCCAAACTGTCGGCCCTAGGCCCTAAACCCCCCAAAGGGATCGAACTCTCGCAAACTGTCGGCAGGGTTTAGTTTAGGGTTAAGGGTCTAGGGTCAAGGGTACCGAGAATTCTTGTCGTGTGACTTTTCGTACCGTACTATGCTCAGGATCATGCTGGTCTTCTTGCTTCCTTCTATTATTCTCATTAGTGTTCTGATCATGTTTTAATACACCTTTGGGGTTGGTTGTTGAGCTTTAGGTGTCTTCAAGGCGTCAAGAAGGCTGCTAGCATCGAGAGTTTATAAGCGAGTCAGCAAGAGGATTAAAGATCCGGGGTTTTGCATGTATGCCTCTGCGATCTGGTGCGGGCTTCATCGCGGCAGCATTGACGCCATTACCGTTTGGGGCATCTGGCAATCAGGCTCTGCTAAACTTCCTAAACATGAGAGAATATAGGGGCCTCAGCAACTAAGTCCAACACCGTATTGTGGGGCTCCTTGTTGTAGTTATAGTAGATAACTATTCCCAGTATTAAAGCCTATCATTATGACATAAACACTAAACCCGAAGGCCAAATACCCCGACCCAGTAACACTGACTCTGCTCCAAGCCACGCTCATGGAAGAGAGGAGCAATGAAACCTTCACAGAGTCTCCAGCATCACTACTCAGGGTTTGGGGTTGCGTCATGTTACATTTCCGGGTTTCTAGTTTTGAGTTCGCATTAGTTTTGGAAAGATCAACCCCTAGACTCTGAATGATTAAGGGGTCCTCTTTCGGCGTAGTACAAAACTGTGAAGTTGCATTTTTCTAATGGTTATTTCAGTCCGAACTCTAGACCCTAAATATCCCTAAATTCCAAACCCGAATATCCATTGAAAAATCCTTAAACCCTAAGACCTTAGTCCAAGCACTTAGTGCTGAAGCCCCCCTGAGCTCCAAGTGCTAAGGCATCAGTATATCAATATATCATTCTCAGCGCTTGTGTAGTGGCCTTGATGCGTAGACTTTTGATATGGTACTGCTATGGTACTGGGATACTGTTGCCAAGTATTGCGACCACTCATGACCACTCGATTACAGGACAGCCCGTGAGATTCCTAAGCCCGAAAACAAATCCAAGCCCACAACTCTAAACAGCCTGCTAACAATGTTTAGGCCTGAGGGGCTTACAGGTTTAGGGTTCGATGGCTTGTGGATTTAGAGTTAAGGCCTGCAAGGTTCAGGGAGGGCGCTGTAAGTTTCTCGCGCAAGGAGTAGCTTCTGCCCGAGGGTTGCACATATACCACGCCGCCACAAACGACAGATGGTGTCACCTATCAAAGTCTGACCTCTTATGTACGCAAACAGGAATTTGAGAGTTTCCGAAAATAGGGGACGCTAATATAGTACCCTAAATAGTAGGATCCTTATTAATACCCCAAATAAGGTACCCCTGATTTTCGGAAACTACCATTTAAGAACTCCGGAAGTCTGGTTCTGCCACGAGACGAGTTCACGCAAGGTCGCCGGTGTGTTGATGCAGCAGTGCTGCAGTGGGAAGCACTTTGTGACACCTGAGTTCGTTCCCTCATTGTCTACGAGTAGGTCGGTCTATAAAAGCCCGAATGAAAAATCTTGGTGAGTGTAAAAATGCTTCTCAGTAGACAGATCGTAGGTTGCATTGAGTCGTAGAGAAAAAATGGCGCGGACCACCACAACCTGAGGTAGCCAGTTATCATCAGGTGATAGAGGGGCCGCAATCGCTTGGGTATGGATTTTTTGGGGAGGGGGGGGGGGGAATGCTGCTGTATACGTATGCATCTTAAAGTAAGGAGCAATACTGCTATTGTCGGCGCCCTATCCCAAAGGCTCCATGTACCTTTATAGTAGATACTTAGGCCTTAAAGGGGTTCCCATAAAGGTACGTTAAGGCCTAAGTAAAAAATGGGTACATGGAGCCTCAGGGTATGTGACACCTCCTACCTAGTAGAGGAATAGCAAACCAGCGACTCTCTTATCTTCCCGCAGCTCTTGCTTGCCAAAGCCCTGCACGGCCCTGCACCCAAAAAACCCAAATACCCTAAACCCCTACACCAGACACCATTTGGCCCAAAAAGACACACTCAAACATCAAACCACACAATCACAAAACCCTGAAGCCCGGAACTTGGAGCCCTACAAGTCAAAAGACTGGACCCTTGAAACATCTTTTATAGGATCCTTAAGGGAGGGTGGTTCAAGGGGGCAAGGGAACCTTAGGGAGTACTAGGGAGAATTAGGGATCACTAGGCTATATACCCCCCTTGGACCCCCCTCCCTGAAGGATACTACAAATCTTACAACCCCAGATCATATGAAGTACACGCGTGAGGCCCCGGCCCATGTAACACTGCTTTCGCTTGGAGAGCTGAGCGACATCCTCGTCGGAGATGCCAATCCTTGTCATTCGGGGAGGACTGTAAAACGGGATTCAAGGCTTAGGATTTAGGGTTTGCGCTGAGGTCTTCGCACTCGGGGATTTATGTTTTAGGGCTCAGGGTAGGACTGCAAGCCGCAAGAAGCTGCTGGCTTCGTGCTCTTGGGTTGGAAAATTTGGTTGGCTCTGCAAGGCTATGCGGAACGGAATCCTATATAAACCTTCAGATACTCATAACGGGAGTTCTAGGGAAAGCCAGACCCGAAATCACCAAAACTTAAGACCTTATACACTCAGCACCCAGAACTCTAAATGCGCCAACAACAACATCAATAATACTAGGGGCCACTCATAACCTGAACTAGAATCTGTCGAAGACCTACCCAGAGATCCCAATACCCCTCAATTAAGGAATATACCTTAAATCATAATGGTAAGGCCCCTATAATATAAGATATATTCCTTAATTAAGGGGGATTGGGTTCTCTGGGTAAACCCCAAATGTGTAGTTCTCTACGGCAGGGCATCTTTGGGTCGCCACAATAGCACGGCACCCGTTGTTTTGACAGGGTTCAGGGTTTAGAGTTTAGGGTTTAGGGTTAACACTATCAACAGGGATCCTAATTTAGAGAACTATCCAAATGTAGGCTTTTGTTAACCCCCTTCCTTTGTGGGCCTTGCTTTTCTCCGTATTCAGGGCGTGTGGGGGTGAATCCATCAGGGCCTACCACGCCACGAAGTCCGAAACCTCACCCACGGCTTCGAACCCTACCCCGACTCCTCAATAGGGTTTATATAGGGGTTTAAGGGTTACCTGGACCCCCAAAAGTATGTAGAAGAATAGCCTTTCAAAGGCTTTGGGCTATTGTTTGACCTACTTTTGAGGGTTTAAGGGTTAGGAGGTTGGGGGTTTAGCGGCCTGGTACGGCGTTTAGGGTGACTCAACCACCAAGATCCGAGTCCGAGTGGCTGCTTGAAGTGACTGACCAAAACCTCGACCATCGCCTGGGACTTGCAGTTGGCTTTAGGTGTTTCCTGTAATAGGGTTTAGGGTGTTTAGGGTTCATATTAACGGCCTCCAGTTGGGTTTAGGGTTAGGGCTTCCTACTACAGGGTTTAGGGTTCAGTGTTCATATACAGCCTGATACAGCCTATGAAAAACGCTTCCGGACAAAATCTTCGTAAATCTGGTAACGAAAGAGGCAGCGGGTCACTGAGGACTAGCTAGGTGGTGTTTACCAAAGCCCTCAAATCTACTGCGGCTTGTAGGCTGTTCCTGTTTGCTGCTGACGTTCAGGGTTGACTGTTGCTTGCACGGCCTCCTTCTTATCATTGCAGTACTATTGGCGTTGCTATTAATGCTCCATGAATATGGTCATTCGTGTCAAATTCTGGCATAGATGTGGCGTTGCTATATGGCCATAAACGTGAGGTTTTGGGCGTAGGAAAACTGGCGCATGGGCTTCGGTGTGTTAGGGCTCCGCCATGTAACAAATCAACGGACGTTCATCAGGCAATGACAGTACTCACCTTGGCAACGATCAACAACAGTAGCGTATATCAAAAACGAGACAGCAACAGGAACAACACCAATAAGAACGGAACACATCAGCAGCTAAGACGGTGATAATAAATGGCAAATGCACTGCACTGTGCCTCTTGTTCACAGCTGTACCAATATAAACAAGAAAACAATGGATATGAAAGGCACAATGATGATGAACGATGAACCAAGACCAAGCTTAGCATCAACAACACAGGTACAGCCGGCGATAGATCCAATATTACCACCAATAGTTCGCCATCACAACAGCCACCAGCCCGGGATCTTATGCACAGAAGCATTAGCAGCCAGCAACCGAATAGCAACCATCATGCTGTTTTAGTGAGATGTTTTGCGGCCAGTATCTGCTGGAAGCCTACACCCTGAACCCTAACTTGTAAACCCTCCAAAAACGGCCGCCGTAGTTCACACAAATCGAAGATCAAGGTGCCAACATCGGTTTAGGCTTCAGTTTTAGGCTCAGGTTCCGGGATTAAGGATAAGGGCCTTGTCAGGGTGGTTGTCAAAATTATGGTCCCTTCTGGTGTCCTTAATAAAGTACGGCACCTAATACTTAGGGTATAGACCCAACACAGCCCTAAAGGCCAGGCCACGCCAAAATCGTGCAAATAGACGCCTGCTTTGGTGAAGTGCTTCTTCATATGAAGGCCCAGCCTTTGCCGAACAAGCAACAGAGCGTCCGAAATCGTACAAGGCTTAGGGTTTCGAGTTTAGGCTTTCGGTGTCTTCGGAGTGTACCCGAAGATCCTGAAAAATGAACCCTGCAGGATCAAGCCAAAGTCCTATACTAGAGAATGCTTGGAATCTTTGGGTAACTTCTAAACCGATCCGAGTCCAGTCCTTTGTGTCCTCCCTTGTAGTTCTCTTGGTGACCTTGTAGAATCCTAAACTGAATATAAAACTGCCTATTCAACCAGACACGGAACTACAGATCCTAAATCAGACATAAAACTGACTATTCAACCACATTGGTGTTCGGACGAGCTTCCTACAGGGGCCTATACTATTTTGGTGGGTTCTGTAATATAACTATAGTATAAGGTAACCCAAAAAACCCAAACTAGTAAAGCCCAAAAGCATCTAAACTTCGAAGCCCCGGAAACCGCCGAATCATTCCGGTTTAGCGCAAGCAGCAGCAGAACTTCGTAGAGGTCGATGCCCATCGCCAAGGCAAGCAATGTGGAACAACCTGCACTGAGAGTCGGAACAATATGGGAGTTTCCGAAAAAAGGGGACCCTAATACAGTACCCTAAATACCTGGATCCTTACTATAAGGACCCCAAAACAAGGTTCCCCTAATTTTCGGAAAGTCCCATATGCCGCACAACTGAAGTCAGCGAAAGTGTGGGGAAGAGCCATGGGTGCACTAAGCAATGAACACCCAATTTGCAATCTTTGTATCAGTATGACTATTACTGTTGCGACTATTCGTAGAAGTAGTGATAGTAGCAGTGGTAGTTGTAGTAGCAGTAGTAGTAGTAGTAGTAGTCGTAGTCGTAGTAGTAGTAGTAGTAGTAGTAGTAGTAGCAGTAGTAGTAGTGGCAGTAACAGCCGCAGGAGAGGAGAAGTAGCAGTAGAATTACAATAAAGACAATAGCGATAACAATAGATCTGTAGTGCTACCCGGAGGCCCCATAGTAGTTTCTTTTTGGGACTACCTTATAGGATTCTATACACGAACCCCGAAAAAGAAACTACTATGGGGCTTCTGGGTAGCAACAGCAGCAGTAGCAGCAGAAGTAGCCCAAGGGGAGCCTCCGCTGATGCCCGACAGCTGCAAGTTGTCCACATAGAAATGATCACGGATGTAGGTGACCTCAGGGTTTCGGGTTCCTTTAAAGGTTCTACACGGGATCAGGGCTTTGGGGTTTCGGGTTCCTTTAGGAGGATCTATAGGGTTCAGGGTTTTCAGGGTTTAGGGTTTTGGGGTTCAGGGCTTCCTAAAGCCTAAACCCTGTCAGTGTCTGCGGTGGAGGGCAAAGATTGTGGGGAGGCTTCAAGGTTTGAGCTGAGCACCTCGCCGCCCCGAGTCCTGAATCCAGTCCGTTGCATTAAGATTGAGCCGATATTCCCAGATACCTCAGGAACTGACACCTTATTAATAACTTCTGTCTTAAGGAAAGCCAACAAAGCCCTGCAGAGACTTGGAACCCCTAAACCCAACACCTGAAAATTTAAAACCCGTCAACCGTAAATGCATACAAAACCCTTAAACCCTAGCAGGCAAATTCTTGAATCCCCTCACTGCGGCTGCAGCGGCCACGCCATGGTAGTAGGCGAAAAGGAGGCCCGATCCCGAGAAGGCCAGAAAGGGCTTCCGGTCCTTGAGGGCTTTGCATTTTACGGTTTAGGGCTTTGTGTTTTTCGGTTTAGGGCTTCAGGGGTTGAGGGCTTTGTGTGTTTACGGTTTAGGGCTTTAGCGTTTAGGGGCTTTGGGGTTTAGGGCTTTAGGGTCTAGGTTTGGGGCTTAGGGATGCTTGGTTTCTGCACCCTCCCAAGCAGATACTTAATGCGGACCCTGGGGTACTTAAAGGATCATGGGACTTAGTAAGTAGTTATTTTAGAGACTTGTAAGTACCATAACCCCAATTAGGATCCCTCTTAGGGGACTTATAAGTCTACTTACTACCTACTTACTAAGTCCCCCGACCCTCCAAGTAAGGGTACTGGGCTTCATGCCTCGGGTCTTGGTGGTGTGCTTGCGGATCCTTTCTTAAAGGGTTTTAGGGTTTTAGGGGTTTTTAGGGTTTTAGGGTTTAGGGTTTGAAGGGTTTTAGGGCTTAAGGGTTTTACGAAGATTCTTGCAAAGTCGCCCGGACCCCACGCCCAAAGCACCCTAAATCCAAACCTTACATACGCCAGCAGTATAATTCGGGTCATACAAGGCCCTTATTGGCATAGTATCGGCAACGTTTCACGCCACAAGTTTTTCAGTGAAGTACGGATTGTGCAGATGGTTCACAAGGGGCCAAAGCAGCCAACAATGGATTACTGTACTTGAGTTGAAGGAAACCCTAAACCCTAAACCGTCTAAGGTGAGTACACTGGGGCCTTTGGAGTTTAGCATACAAGAAGTTTAAGCAATCAATCTTCTTCGCAGAGTCACGAACTGAAGCGTCCGGGGGAGGCTCGCAGTGGCCCTGCGTCGATGCAGGGAATACCTGGACGGGAGGGTCTAATGTTTTCTTAGAAGTCGTCGTCGTAGTAGAAGAAGACGAAGAAGTAGAAGAAGACTATGTGCCAATACAAGTCGAAGAAGAAACAGTAGGGACAGTCGTCATCGTCGCCGCCGTCGAAATGACAATGCTTGAGGGTCTTTTCGCTCCTTGTATGGGAACTGCTTGGTTTCAACATGTTTTTGTTTAAGAAGACCCGTTTAGTATTCGCGGACAACATCCAGACGGACCAACAGGCGGAGAGTGCAACAGAAACACTCGAACCCAAACAGGACTCCTAAGCCTTAACTAACCGCAAATCTCCATCTATAAACTTGAAAGTGGGACGGCTCAGGGTTCTGAAACCTGTGCCCATCACAAACCCTGAACCCTAAACCGTACTTACGCCATCACTAAACTCCCAACCCTAAACCCCAAACCCTAAACCTTAGGCCATCACTAACCCCTCAACCCCTAAACCCCAAACCCCTAAACCCCAAACCCCTAAACCCTAAACCCCAAAACCCTAAACCCCAAACCCCCTAAGCCCTTCTTGAGCGTCTGCCCTGCCCGAGGTGCAAGGCCCGAAGCAGAAGCAGCCAAAACATGGTCCGCAGCGTAGTAGGCATACCTTAGGTACGGCCCCCTTACAGTAAGAGTCTATAGTAGGGCTACTATTAAGGTCCTAATATATATATATATATATATATATATATATATATATATATATATATATATTATGAGGACTATTCAACTATTACTGAGTGGGGGCCGTACCCAAGGCATACCTAGTAGTACTCAAAGGATCATGGGACTTAGTAAGTCAGGTTATAAGTACCGTAGTTGGGGTTATAAGTACTTATAACCTACACTAGGGGTTTAGGGTTTGGGGGTTCAGGAGTTTGGGGGTTTAGGAGTTTGGGGGGTTGGGGGTTTCAGTCGGTCAGGGTCGGTATGGGGCTCAGGGCGCTTTGCAAGGTTCTGATTACTCATAATCCCAATCAAGGTACGGAAAGGCCTACTTATATAACTCAGCCCACTGATTCTTCAGGTACTCGAACTCAAAGTCAATTCAGAAGATGAGGAGTTTGGGGGGTCTCCCGATATCTGCGTGAAGGAGCTCAAGTCAGAGGCAGGCCGCAAATAAAGGGATGTTGGCACCTGATCAGTCATCCCCAAGTACAAAACTTACTTGTCCAATATCCTACGGGAACTGCAGGTTAATCTTTGGGAGTATCACCAATTAGTTAGTTCAAGCTCACCAATTTCTAGTACTGGCAAAAGGTCTAGGATGGTAGGGGTGAGGGCAAGATATTGGAATCAAATCCCTGCTGGCATCTTCAATTATGGAGGGAAGGGGCCAAACGTCTAAAACCCGGCCAACAACGTGAGCACAGCACTGTTGCCAGTCTTCTGCATAGGGCTTTCAGGGTCTTAGAGATTGGAGCCTGTGAGAGGTTTACGCGTAAGGCTTACAACCTTTAGTAGAAGCCCATTACAGGTGGGTAGTTCCTCTTCCATAGTACTCCCATAAGACCCCTTTACCTTATAGGAGTGGTATGGGAGGCTTATGGGAAACTACCCACCTAATAACTACCCACCTGTAAATGGCTTAGATTTAGCGCATCTGGAACAAACCCTCCTAAACCCTAAACCTTAAAAACGAAACCACTAAACTCTAAACTGTAAACCCTCTGTAAACCCTCAGACCCTACACCCAAAAACCCTAAACCATAACAACTGTGAAAATTAAACTGTAAACCCGCAACCCTCAAGCCGAGTATGCTGAGCCCCGTTGCGGCCTGTCCAGACACTTCAATAAAGTTCTAAACAGCCTCCCCTAAGGCTCTAAGGCTTATGTACTCATCTGGCACATACTTAGGCCTCAGGGGTATTTCTATTTATGTCCTTAATCAACCCTAAACCCTTAAACACCAAAACCCTAGACCCCTAAACCCTAAACACTTAAACCCTAAACCCTAAACCCCTAAACCTACGGAGCTACATGGAGCCCGGGGGCTCCCCGCCTCATGAGGATTGGACCTAATTAGAACAGGGTTTGGAGGGGGTTTATCATAGTAACTTGTAGTAACTTGTAGTAAAATATAGTAACTTATAATAAGGATCCGTTAGAACGATCAAGAACAGCAGTGTTATGCATCGGTAATGATTGAGGCTTCAATATTACCCGAAAGATATAAATCCACGGGCCCCGAAACCCTAGACTGAACTTTTGTGGCAGGTTTGGGAAGCTTCTACCTGGACCCCAAAGGTATGTAGAATAAGCGACTTGTATAATTTTTGGGCCATTATTTTAACTACTTTTGGGGGTCTAGGTAGAGCTTTTAGAGATTTTGGCCACCCGAAGAAAAGCCAGCTTAGCTGCGCCATTTCCGCGCGCGTAGCTGAAGCAGCTGCATGGCGAGTACTGGCTATTGCAATCACTGTAAGAAGCACATTCACACCAAATGCCGGGGAACATGTGGCGAACCTGCCTGTCCGGATTCTCGTTTCAAGCGCAACTACATACCGACACATATGCAAACACATGCTCACTCACATTAAACACATACATGCATAGACACACATACATGCATACATACCTACATACATGCATACATACATACATACATACGCACATGCATACCTACATACAGACGCACATGTATACAGTAACTGAATGTCACTGGAAAATCGCAGCTTGTATATGTATGTAACACATATATATATATATATATACACACACACACATGCATACATGGACGCATATACGTCTGCATGCATGACAGTGTATACTTACATACACAACGGTACAGATGCTACTCCCTCAACCCTAAACCCTAAACCTTTGGGCACTTGCATACTTGTGTTCGAACGCTGGGAAGGCCAAAGGGCACAGCCTCGCGCTCGCAGCTTGAGCCATTGCCCTAGACACGAGAGTCTGTCACCCTGCTCTTTAGGGTTTTTGGGTTAAGGGGTTTAGGGCTTAGGGTGTAGGGGTTTAGGGTTTACCTGAACCCCAAATAAGCCACCTTTGCTTTGCAAGGACTAATGTGAGGAAATCACAACACGGAGCTCTAAATATGTGGATTTTCTCGAGTGAAGGTAGGGCTTTGGGCAGTTTATAGGGGAGACTACATGAACTCTACGGACAGTTTCCTTGTCATGTATCGTAGCACTTTCTCCCATCCTCACTGCCCGCAGCAGCGGCCAAGCGATTTAGCATCTTCGTACATAGGCACGAGGTTTCGAACGAACCAAAAGGTAGGGTTTAAGGATTGAGGTCGGCTGTTTACTCGTAAGCCAGACACAAACGCCTTGGCAAGTGGGCTATGACAATGACTCCGAGTCCTAACAGCCCACCAACAGCTTTGCTTGGAATCAGACCCCGATGAAGTGATTTCAGCTGTTTCTTAGGGATTATAACCAAGTACTAAACCCTGAACCCTAAACGCTAACCCAAAACCCCAACCCAAAACCCCGGATACTGAACCCACGGAACAACACTTCAACACGACAGAGGCCCGGTCACCCACACCGTGAGCGATGGCGAGGTGTAACCCAGACATAAGCTATACCCACACCCCCCCCCCCCAAACTAGGTAAAAGAATAGCACGAAACCTATAATCGCGATTATTACACATACATTGGGGTTGAGGTAATGCAGTAACGCACTACATGGTGAACTGGATCTTCTAGGGTTCAACTCACCCTACAAGCCCCAAGCTGCGGTGGCCCAGGCCTCACATCCAGCTCTTGCAGCTTCTGCAATCGGCCGAGCTCTTGAGGAAGGGCCTCGGGATTTCCGGGCAGAGTTTTCGGCACGCATAGTAACTAGGAGGTGCTGCGCTTTTAAAGCCTTTGAAAACAATGGTAGGCAAGATCCTCTTAAGCCCAGTAAGAGCAAACATTAGTAGGTAAGATCCTCTCAAACCCAATAGGAGCAAATTTAGAATGTCCCAAAGCTCTTCCTAGGTGAGCAAACACACGCCACTGCAGCACTCGCAGGGGCACGAGATAGCTGTTGATGGGAGGCCAAACGGAGGGTTTAAGATTCTTAGGGTAGGGATTCCTTCATATGAACCCAATTATGGGAACCCAAATCCCTACTAAACTCCCAGAGGCTAAAACCCGTTTTGGCCTCCTATGGGCTGTGGCTCTGCCTCAGGCGATAGGCTACAGTACGCAAAACGAATACGGCGGTTTAGGGTGTACTTGGAGGTGCATGGGTAGTTATAAGTGGGGTTATAAGTAAGGCAACTAAAGTTATAAGCCCTATTAGGGGACTTATAACCCCACTTATAACTACCCATGAACCTCCAAGTACGGGTTTAGGGATAAAAGGTTTTAGGGTTATTACGTTCAGAAAGTGTCGGGTGTCTCTTGATCAAAATTTGGCTACGGGGCCAGAGGTCTGCAAACCTTCTGTGCCAAAGTCTAGTACACCGCCTTAGGGCAGCGGCTGTAAGTTCAGGGCAGGGTTTGGGATTAGCGTCAAGGGTTCGGGCCTCACTTCTCTGCATGGGGTCCTGGATTATACTCTACTGCCTCAGTTGCATTATAGCCCCCTACCTATAACTATGTAGTTAGAGTGTAGCCTTTAGTTTAACTGTATAGCTAGGCACGGACATTAATCTAATCAAGGTTGTTATCCCTCCTCTCACCCAGATTCCTCAACCCGTAAAACCTGAAACCTAAACCCCTAGACCTGCATCCTAAACCCTAAACACATCCCTCAACCCTATCCTGAACTCCTAAACCCGAAACTAAACCCTATATAAACCCTAAATCCTCAACCCCTAAACCCCTAAACCCTAAACCACTAAACCCTAAACACCCTAAACTCCTAAACACCCTACCCTAAACCCCCGAACCCTAGAGCTCAACCGCTCAACACTGCAACGCGGGAGGTCCGAGGCTAGGGGCTTTCAGGCAATTCCCAAAAGCCCGGAGCACTTCCAGACCTCGGCTGCGTGGGTTTTGGTCTCCAGGGGTGGTGGTTTAGGGTTTATGGGTTTAGGGTTTAGGGTTTAGGGGTTTAGGGTTTATGGGTTTAGGGTTTAGGGTTTAGGGGTTTAGGGTTTAGGGGTTTAGGGTTTAGGGTTTGGTGGTGTAGGGTATATATCGAGAACCCAAAGGCTCCTAGGTACTGTTTTGGGCGATACTTCCCCAAGTCATATAGAAACCCTACATTCTACTACAAAGGTACTTTAAACGTTTTGGGCAATACTTTGTCCAGATAGTCTCGACATGAACTCATCCTCATAATCTTTCAGGAATAGCATTTCTAGACAACCTACATATATGCATCTAACATAGACATGAGCCATCATGGTCCCGGAACCCCGCGGCGACATGTACCTTGCTGTGAAGCAGCTTCATGCTTAAAAGAAGCCCGACTTCCATAAACGCAAACCCACGCCGTACAGATGAATACTCTTGGGTTTAGGGTTTTAAACGGATCTTAACACCTTAAACTCAGACCCTCAATGCCGCACAGTACAGCCTCTAAGAAACACAGGACTCAGCGATTGAACATGCCCAAATAGCAGGGTTTCAGGCGCCAAAGACCCATCCAGAGTATGCCCTTGGGCCTCAAATCTTACTATTTGACTTATTTGACTACTTGGCTTCAATCTTAGACTGTAAATCTCTAAACCCTACAACAACAAAGCAGCTTAAACCCTACACCCTAAACCTAAATCCTATAACAGAAACAAGTTTTAGGATCCCTTAAGGGTAGCTATAAGCGTCCCTTTAAATTGCTGGTATCTAGGTGGCTATGGTTGTTACAAGGTTTTGGAGGGTTCAAGGTTTTGGCGGCTTGTTCCCTTGCCTGCGTCTCGTTCGACATTCGTACAGCAATCGCGAGAGTTTGCTTCTGTAAGCTGCAACATTCTAAACCCCAGATTGAAAGCCTTTGACCATGTCAAAGGCTGGAACAGTATCCTGAGCCAACGGAACATGAGCCTCACACCCTGCTGGAGCAGAGTTACTCACTTCTGACTACAGAAACCCCGGTTACATGCAACTCGGCGGCATCGATAGCTAGAAACGGGTTTATGCTACATCATCATCATCATCATCATCATCATAATCATCATGTTTGCTGAACTTGGAACTATATGGAAATATTATTTCAATACCCTAAACCCTGTGCAAACTAACTGTTCAGACCAGGGCGTACAGAACCTACTACAATCCCAATCTGCACTGCCGCGTTCTTGGCACCAGACGGCTTAGGCGAGTGATCGCAGAAGGCAGCGAGCTCAGTTGATTCTGAGACACCTCGGGCTTTCTTTCGGCCTTTAGCTGAAGCTCCCATGAACACAAACATACTACGAGCGAAACTCTTGAGTTTTGGCATATTATGCATATGTCTATGTCTGTGTCTGTCTGTATGTATGTATGATTATGTATCTACGTATGTATGCATGCATGTATGCACGTAGGTATGTATGTATCTGTCTATCAGTCAGTCTGTCTGTCTGTCTGTCTGTCTGCATGTGCATAAACATATCAATATATGTGCTACTTCTGAAAACGTTTATTGTTCGATGCTGGCATTTGCTGTTCTTATTGCTATACGGCAACGGTTTTATGAGACAGGGCCTTAGGGCCTTAGGGGTATGACTGTGATGACTGTTATTCTTGATATTGCGTACAGCTAGGTACAACCAGGAACAGCAGCAACTACATGGTCAACAATAACAGCAGCAAAAGCACTCAGATGACTTCAATTGGGATGCTTCAAGAATGCCGGGGTTACACTGCATTCAATCCCAAGTTTGAGGGATTTCGCGCCGTAGGATTTCAGGTTCGGCGGCTTGGCCTATTCCAGCTTTATATAAACCCTGATTAAAACCCTATAAGCCACTGAAAGATCGCTTCTTTCAGGTCCCTGCAACTCTGAACCCCAAGCATAGAACCCTAAACCCCTAAACCCTAAAACCGTTGACCCCCTGTTGGCTTTTGGGGCGTCCCTCTCGTCTTGTGTCTCATCTGGCCCGCCGCTCGGACTCGCGGCATGTCCATGCAGTCGGCTTGGGTTTTAGGGTTTCGGGTTTACCTGTAGTCTCCATTGTAGTTCCTGGTTGGGGTTACCTTAAAGGATCCTTTGTATAAAATGGTTAAACCAAAAAAAGGAACTACTATGGGGCCTCTGGGTCGGGTTCTCAATCGAAGCGAGGATCTCTTCATGCAATCAAAAGGCCTTGGCCAGTTCTGCTGCATCCAGTCTTCATTGGGATCATCGAGACAGGCAGCATCGAGCAGCTCAATGAGCTCGGCTTTGGTTTGCCGAAAGGCGGCGGAAGGCTCTGCCGTGGGCTTGGCGCCACGACGGGCGGCTTCTTTGGCTTAGGAGCAGGTCCCGAGCTCTTGGGATCAAAGCGGATCAGAGGCTGACCTGTCCTGATG